AAGAGAGTGCACTGTTGTCTGTGTTTGCTTCGGCTTCAAAACCTAGTGAAGTTCTATGATAAGATATTAAAATTGAGACCATTGCTAGTRYTGGGYTGTCTKAATGKTAACGAAMATGTTGYAACAGTTGTAAATCTGATACAACACAKTGYTGTATCAAATTTACAAGGTCAATCACCTGACCAAATAGACAGCCCTTACTACCGTCCCAGGTCCCGGCCAATAAAATRCAGCAACTTTATTATCTTGTTATTTTTTCCTTGTTAAGTTTTGRCCGAACGGACGACGATTTGAACGAACCTCGTCTCCATGTTATAATGGCTTAATATGATCACAGTATAAGTTTCAACACTTTCGAACATTTCAAAAAAAAGTTCGGAATTTTATATATATCCTCTTTTTTTGTAACATTTCCTTAATAAAGATTCTCTACACAAATTCTAAATAATATTTCTTTGATTTACCTTCTGCATCATACATTCTTACCAAAATACAGCTCGTGTTCRGTGGGCCATAACTCGTCAAATGTGCATTTTACCGGAATATTGCAATTTTAAAATTAGCTCTTTAAGATTAATAATCAAATAATCTAAATTCCTTTTATTATTAAGCTAAATACCTTACGGATGTCACGCTAAATACCTTAAACAAAAAATCCCACAGTTTGTAGGGAGTATCCCATGGTAACATCAAATTTTTCGCATTAKAATTCTTTGCGCTAGAGATAAGGGATGGACCATTAGATTATTGATGGAGGGGGTTTGCAGGAATTTTTGTTACATGATATTTTTTTAGCCCTAACTTCTGTACGATTTTTTTTCTGATATCATGACCTTGCAGGATAATTTTTTGTGGCAAACAAATGTGAGAGAYAATGATTTTTTTGTATTCTCACTTACCAAAATATTCATACTAATTAGTCAAGACAGTCAAATKAATTTTATTGAGTTCCATACAGGAACACGCAATGGAACTATCGGAAAAAAGCCTAAAGAACGTAGACGCGGTATAAAATAACCAACGGAATTATGCAAAATACAAAAGAAAAACATGATTTCTCTATTACTACAAGAAAGCCAAACGAAAGAGCCAGAAACAAAGTGCAAAAGAACAGAAGTATGTAAGCTAAGGACAGAAGAAGAGAGAAGAGTGTAACATTGGTGAGGTCAGTGGAGAGAAAACTAACAGTCCTAACAGTGAAGAGTCTGCCATTGGGCAAAAAGAGCACACTTCAAACGATATAGAGAGTAGTGACGATGAATGGACCACTGAAGAGGAATTTAAAGAAGAATGTCGGAGGACATGGAGAGTTCGAGAAAGCGAATTGAAGTTTGATATAGTGGGACATCTCATGTTGAAAACAAACTATTGCTACTGTTACAAGATATTACATGTACAGAAAAATGATTTCCAAGTTATCAAAAACATTGATCATTAATATGAGATCAGCAAAAGTTAATCCATCATCCATATATTATAAAGTTTATAGACTTGAGAAAGGCGTGTTTTCAGTAAATATCATTATCATACAGGTGTTGGCTGTTTTTATCATGATGCTAAATATTTATAAAAGTTTACATGTAATGCTGACTGTAACCTAGATTTCAATACGTAAACAGCACTGAATTTCTGCAGCAGCATTAAAATTGATCTCCTGCTTTATTCTTTAGTAGTACTCAGTTCYCTAAAGATATCGAAYGAGGTACTAAAAAGCTCAACGTCGTTCCGTGTGGACAAACCGATGTAACCGAAGTGAAGTTTTCTATTTCGGCAATTCATAATTTGCGTGTTTCCAACTAGTCTCAAATGACTCTTCAAACGGCTTTTCACTTCACTGGACTATGTGTTTGCTCGATTTTTTTCGACCGTGAGAGACTGCTCTTTTTTTCCCGAGATTGAAGTGCTTGTTCGATATTTTTTGGGGGATTTAGGCAACCCCCCATCAATAATCTAATTGTCAATCCCCAACCTAAAATTTCATTTTAGCTTGTAATAAAGTTTTTATAACACGTTTTAGTTTTTGCAGAGGCGGCGAGAATCAATTTCAATATATAATATATATATCAAAAATGAGCAAAAATTACCTAAATCCAATTTCGTTGAATTTAGTATTGATGTATAATTTTTTCAATGAATTGTTCAATATTCAACCACCTACTTTGGCTTTCTTTCCTTRTTTGCAAGTAGAGTTCTTCGTACCTCCATTCGCCCACTGGAAGATTTGATGTTAGACAGCTTGTATAATTTAATCACCGATAGTATAAGGACAAGAGTAATTGCTGTAATTAAGACAAGGGTCTTGACTCGAGAAAACCTTCGATGAATCATTTCACGGTATTGTGCACAATCTTGTGTCTAACTAATGAAGCCACATTTGGATTAAACTGTCCATGCCAAGTAAATAACTACCAGGCTGATATTGTATAACGTCCATTTGGAGGTATTATCCCATTGCTCATTAACATGACAACATGACAGTTGTCTTGATGTGCGTCCATTTTTTGGTCAATACCTTTCTATGGYCAAGAGTAACATACCCTACTAAAATACCTTTTAAAAGACCTTTTAAACCGCACAATTTATCCTACATATTGCTAAGCCCAAGTTGCAAAAGTGCACATGCGCGGTGAACTTCAATGTGTTCTAGAGCAAGAACCTGTAACACCTGTTTGCTTAACCAATGAGAAAGCGGCAATGTTTGGAAGAGTATCCACCTGTCCTTCAAAGATAATTAAACAACGGAAGATTATTGTTGACATTTACAGAACGACTAATCTAAGCACACTGYACATTCAATATACTAGTAAAAGTCACAAAGCAACTCATTTCCACATAGTGGAAGTGTAGATTAATTTATTTTCTTGACACGAAATTGATATCAGAAGGCAAATTAAACTCCGATCAGCTCAATCACTATTCAATTATATCCATTTTAAAATAACACTAAAACACACCAAATGCTATAAATATAAAATGCACACGAGTGACAKGCGATCACATACGGTAGCATAAGGCTAATAGATCCGGTACCGCTATATGTGATTACAGTTTGTAGGTTGGTTCTCTTCCTTGCTCCGAGCGTTTTTCTCGTCAAAAACTTGATAACGTGAGGAGTGTACTATGCTAAACCATGTAGATTTCGTAGGATGGTCTGCGGAGTCTCCACACACTTAATAGAACACTTTAAACTAGTTGTCTGCTAGAGCGACAGAGACGTTGTAGCCCCTAGGCAACTCTTTTCTCCCCTTCTCCTTAGTAACGGTAATATTGATCGCTGGGGACTAGTGACGAGAAAGGAAAACTAAGAACGAGAGGAGTTGATGTCTCCCTTCTCCCGCTCTCATTCTCCATCTTCTTTCCAGCAACAAAGACAGAAAGCCCGTGACTCTTAGTGATGCCTTCGGAGGAGGCTAGGTTAAGACGTTTAAAATAAGGCTATTTACTATATATAAATTAAAATTATACTTCAAGACTTGCAAGATTCATTGCTTTATTGCTACAAGCTGGTTTCGTATGGTCATCAGAGATGATCACACTCGTCAGGCAAGTTACAATGAATGAATGACCGTTAAAGTTTGCTGGTAGTTTAAAAACGCTATCTAGTTTACTGCTTGTAGCAATAAAKCAATGAATCATTCAAGTCTTTAAGTACAATTTTACTTTATACAATGCTCCTTAACAAAGTTGATCACTTTTTTTTTGAAAACATTTTCGGTAATTTTAAGTTATTTACTATATATTTATATTTATCAAGCGTTTATTTGATAGAAGGCAGAATTTTTTTATCTCCTTCGGTGAAAATAAAGATACGTCCAATCCAAGCGCAYGTATAGCATTTCTAATGTGATCTAGATTCTACAGGTAGCTATGGTTTAAGAATCTATCAAATGAAAGAAAAATTACCTAAAGCAAAGTAAGACGTTCCTCGCTCGTTCGTTGTATGATACTGCAAGCAACTCATGAAAAAAATCCCAATAAGAGCGAAGTACATATRTATCTCGGTACAGGGAACACGATCTCCGTCGCTGATTCGCAAACCAACATAACAAAAGTTTTGGTTTGTCTACACGCAGGCTACTGACCATATGAAAAACGAGCAGAAGACTGGGAATTAGCACATTAAACACTCCATATTTTTAAACATCTGTTTTGATCGTATGAAGGAGTATATCTCAAATAGTAACTTGGTGGAGTTTTAGTTTCAAATGTTAAATATCAGCAGAGTTACGAGCATTTGAAATGTGGCAAAATCGTGAAAACGAGGATGGTCAGGCCTCCATACTCATTTTCACTCAAACCTTTGCAATTTCAAACACCTGTAATTTCTGGTCCTTTAAAAATGTTAGAGCATTGAAACTTTCAGATCTTATTCATTTTGATGTGTTCTTTCCAAGGGTAGCAATGATACAATAAAAATCTTATAAACTAAGGAGTTACGATATCCACGCCCTTTTTCATTTGGTCTATTATTCAGCCTTCCAGAAAGTGCATGATTCATTGAAATGAAGTGCACACACGCGTAGATTTTACTTTTTCTGATTTAGTGAAGCAGCTATCATAATTCTTTAACTTCTTTTTTATCTGTTTAGCTTTCGTTTTTAAATTTTCCAGCTGCGTGCTTTGGTAATTTAGTGCAATGTCACTAGGAGACAATGGCATAGCCATGGGATTTTCTTTTACTACAATCTTTTCTTCAAGAGAGCAACTCTTTATGTAGTTCATATTCCCTTCTTCCCTCTGAGTAAAAAAGTTTTTAAAACTCACATGCATTCATTGAAAATTCATACTGGTTCTTACAGAAGGCTGAAAGAACCTTACTATTGAAGTAAATCATGCATTTTCGTGCTTGAACGAACATGAAATTTTGTGGGTAGGTCAGAGATAATTTGTCGTGACCACAACAGATTCTCCAGCCCAACCCCGCCCAACCCCACATATACTTCATGACCAGTCCCCAAAAATTTATGCTTGATTGAATCAAAGCTTCCATAAATCATTCAGTCAATCATACTTTCCAAGACCAGTAAACCAAATAAAGAATTTACCACTTTAAATAGTTCCTTGYATTTTATAAATAATGTCTTTCTCATCTTCCATTTGTATTTTAGATATAGACAGAAATATTCTTTATACGTGTTCTAACTGAGCTTCCAAAATTACTTTTTATAAATAGTTATTTTTCATTGGATGACTAATTGACAAAGTCCATGAGAATRTATAAAACTAATAAAAAAAATTGAAAAGCGGCAATTATAGACGTACTAGACAGTACAGTTTAAGTCAAATTCTAAGAGGTTATTAGGCTACTGTATTTAACTTGGGTAATTCATTTATTCTGCTGTCAGGATTGTCAGTTCTTGGGTAAGGACTGTTGATTGACAATCCAACTTTAATAAAACTTGCTGCAGATTGAGCACCTGCCCTGTGAATATAATAACAGGTTAAAATCTACCGTATGGGTTACACCAAACATGCAAGAAACGGTGCAAGGGACAATATGAACAGTTGAAACACACTTGAACTTAAAGAAAAAAAACTAAAAGGCAAAGTCCATGAAGGGGAATTATGCCATCTATATATATGAYTACWTAACATATACCACAGGCTTACYAGACTATTGAGAAGAGAAGTCGRYTCTATGACTCCTATGGCGATTATCGGYCAAAAGMCTTTGAAATCTCTTCAAAATTAGGTCATTTTAAACATCGATATTTTTGTTATTTTGGGAGTTTGTATTCAATTAATTTAATTTAGAAAAATACTTTACTGCTTTCTGAGTGCTAATTTTTAGTCCTTTTTGCTGCATGATGCATTATTCATCCGTAAATGATCGCGATCCCCAGTGTAGTAATCGGATTACTACACCCAAATATCGATGCTGAAAATGATCTAGTTTTGAAGAGATCTTTCGGCTGTTAATTGMCATAGGAGGACTGGAGCCGACCTCTCTTCTCAATAGGCTGGTATGCCTGTGCATAAACRTACCTATTGTCCATCAGGAGAGTGGACATGGAATTATCAGTGCTTGCTGACGTTATTCTCGACGTGCCATCCATGGTAATACTCAATTGAGAAGTCGAAATCTTMGGGCCGCCTATCTCTCCACCCCAGGCTGCCCTCGGTCCTGAACGACCACGTGTTGGWGTGAATCTAAAGTCGTATGGCAGAGCCTTACCGACTAGGCTGTCTTTACGAGTTTTCATAATCTAAAAGAATTGAAGACCTAGTTTAGTATGTAGTCATTGTAGATCAGAAACACTTGAACCATGCAATAGAAACTACAAAKTACCAACTAATAGGAACTATTTGTTCCATATGACATTGAAGGTCTAGAATGTAGTATCATTCCCAGAAATTGGATAGTCAGCGGTTCGATGTAAACACGCGGGCTCATGTATAAGAAAAGCAAGGACATTTGAACAGAATAAAAGTGTTTTCTTACACTGCCTTTCATCTGACATTTCTTGTTTGTTTTGTTACACCCGCCAAAACCTTTCACACAGGAAACCCGACATGCGTATTTTGCAGAGGAAAAAAATGGCGGGCTAGATCTCAAGTATCTGCTCAAAAAACTGGCATGGACGCTCAAATTTTACAATTCAAGAGGCCAAAAGTGTAGCTTATTATGTGTTCTAACGAATACGATTTGCAGAAATAAAAAAATCTAGARGTTAAAACATTTTTACCAGGACTTTACGACCGGAAATGAAGTGTTTTTTTTTCCAACAAGAGTATTGCGGCTGACGGCTACATTGGTCGTGAGTATTTTTCAATTGATTTTGGAACCGGTTTAAGACTTCGAAACGGCTTAGTATTTTATATCGCAATATGCAAAAATCACACTGATCCATAAAATATTTGTCAATATTACTCGAAGGAAGCCACCTTAAATGACAGGTTTAATGATGKTTGTATGAGTGACTGAATGAAGGCTCGGGGAAGAGATACTTAAGTCGGTTTAGATATCCGTTGACTGGAAAGTTTGTTACCTGTTTCAAAAAGTCCTTCTTAGCGTTGCCATAACCATTAAAAATGTGATCAGCAAATAATAGTTTTCCACCAACATACATCTGCGAAATCAACAAAATTGTTAATACCACACAACATCTGGAAATATTTATATTACGACTTTGTGTGTTCAATGCACCCGGGGGGAGGTACTACCTCCCCAACTTGGGTGGGGTGTGTCGCACGACTCTAAAAACCCTTACCCTATCCCAGACCAATTTTTGTGATTTTACATACCCTACCCAAGACTAAAGGTACAAAGGTACATTATTTTAGCGCTGAAAGCGTGGCCTAGCAAATACGATCACAGGCAAAACTCCATCCTACCCCAGACAATGAGACTATGCCCTATCCTAGACAAAAAACTACCCTATCCCAGACCAAAGTACTCATACCCTAACCCAGACAAATGGGCTAAAAGTGATACCCTATCCCAGACTTGGAGCTCCGAAAAAGGGATCCTATCGTGCGGCACATACCCGTATAGCAAATATAGGCGAGTACCCCCTCTAGGTCAATGCATTGGTATTCAAAGTAGTTGCAGCAGTTCGATTCTCTGGGTAGTGTCTCGAATACTCTGTAGTTCTTATGTTTATGACGTTTGGATGACCTGACCGGAATACTCCACTTTCGAATTCAAAGCGAATAACCGCTGTTTTACTTGACAGCAGATTCTATTACGCAAAGAACTTACCAAAGACAAAAGAAAGCACGAGAAAATGTTGTTAATACAATAGCGCTAAGAATCTACATTTTCCTCGAGTTGAGGCTAACCCTGCTCATACCTTAGGTCTTATTGGAATACAGGGATAATCTCAACTCGGGGAAAATGCAAATTTTCAAGTCTATTGTAATAACGACATTTTCTCGTGCTCTCTTTTGTGTTTGTAAGTTCTTTGCGCAAGAGAAGCTGTTGTCAAATAAAGCAGCGGTTATTCGCTATGAATTAGCAACTGGAGTATTCAGGGTCAAGACTACAATCAACGCGATTGTTGACTGTATCATGCATTGCAAAAAAGTCAATGCAACTTCGACCTGAAACATCGTTATACGTTGGCCTAATTATTTGCCTTCCATTATTCTAAGAATGGACAATTTTATCGATTATGTGAATCTGGAAAGGGACTACCAAGGAATAGATCATGAAGTCTTACAAATACGGCTACCATCTTGAATTAATATGAAGAAATTATGGGAAATGCAGGTGTAAAAGCGTCCACTTATATTTAGGATCGGTCACCATAATTCATTTTTCTAAGAATTAATGTTTTAAATTATATTGTGTCTTTTAACATTTTTCGGAGTTTCTGATACAATATTGAATTCATAGAATTCTCACAGCCATATTGTCCATAAATATATTTTTAGTGCCCATATGCATTGCTTCGTTTGCTAAATCGATACTCAAGATAACAGCAATTCAAGATGGCGAACGTTTTTGTAATAAACATTTATATTTACAAGTTTGCTCCAGGTCCTTTATGGAAAATACCTGGTAACAAKTTATTATTATAGAAAGTGTGAAAATATTGTGCCTATTTACTTACTAAGAACATTCCTGGGACAGCATTATGTCTTGTAAGTAATAGTGATTGTTGGTGATCAGTGTTSATGGTGGCCACAGCAATGTCATACCGAAGCAGACGAAATGGGTCACTACGAGCCTAAGCAAGAATGTTAACATCAGACATTTAYAAGTTAAAATGTTGAACAAAAGTAAAAATAAGAAAATTCTTAGTTTATTGAAGTTCACCTAAAATTTCAAGTCGTGTACAACTGAATTGGATAAAACCGTTCAAAATATTATAAGATATATTACTTTCATGCATAGCTGTTTCAGAAAAATAGCCGTATGCAGTCAACCATTAACGCCCAGAAGTAAATAGTTAATGACAACAACTTAATACATGTTAGAATGCCTGTTCAAGGATTTCTATGTAAAACAAGATAAAAAGCCAATCATATGTTATCGATATTGTAAAGAAGTTTTGCAACTTGATGCTGAATATCTTTGTAAAAAGAATAGAATGCGATATTTACCAATGAAATTGTTGTTCTCTTTTTGTCTTTACAACTGAACAACGTTAATGGAATCAACTGTGTGTACAACTGAACGAACAGATAGACGAATAAGATGGCAACAAAAATTACCTGTACGCATGGTATAGAACGGTCTCTGTTTTTCTCATAAAACAATTGGTCTAACATGCTGTCACATGGATTAGCATCGGGATATCTGTTTAACAAAATAATTTGATATCAATAGATAAGATGGGAGATATATACTAAAAAAAGAAAAATTAGACATAAAATAACAATGCGAAATGTGTAAAAATGGAATACAATATGAGAATGAGAATGCGAATAACTTTCGACCAGAAAAACAACAAATCTTGCCAGCCAAGCGACTATGAGCAGACAATGAATTAAGACAGTACAACATTAAACAGCGCTAAATTTAACTGAATTATGCAAGTTTCCTTGTTTGCAACCTTTGCCACTATTTGCCTAGAAGTCACGCTTTTTAAAGCGTGACTTAAAAAGTGTTTGCCTCTGACCTATTGTCAGCGGACAATAGGCCACATAATATAGGTCAGCGACCAGTATTAATTGCCGAAGTTACCCTCACTCTTACCCAAAGCGAATGACATGTGGTTTCTCCGTCTTCCACGACGTATACGGAACCACAAAAAGTGTTGGAAGCTAATATTTTAGCATAAAGAAAAACTGACTGTTATTCCTTCAGCATCATTTTTATCGTTTTTCTTTGTTTGAATTTAAATAATACTCGAAAACAATTATAGATATCTATAGATATTCGGGTTTACAAGTGATTAAAAGAAGTAAATGATGTACTTACAGAGACGATGTGACACTAACAACAATCATCTGTGTTCTTGGAACGTGTTCCTTTAGGAAAATATCGTACTCAAGATCCGTTATAAGAGGAATTCTACGACGATCACACCTATTTGAGAACCATATGTTACAAATCATGAATATTCATACAAGCGTGCAAGGAGCGGACACGGGGAGAGGGGTTGTGGATTCGGTGGTGGATTTCTTTGATGTAATTTAATGATGTAATTACAATATAATTATTATATAAACTACTAYAAACTACAAAATTTCAAATCAAAATTTCCAGAATTGACAGTGAAATAAATTATCGATGCTTATCGAATTCTGTTTGCTTAAGTCTTTCGAAATGATTTGATCTTGGTTGTCCTGGAACATTTTTTTCTACCCCCTCGTTGCATTATCCTGTACCAGTCCCTCCCTRCAAAGTACCTGCACTGGGGTTCCACTTCACCAAGTATCTCAGCACGCAAAGCACTATGCAATAACCGGTCAAGGATAGTAACACTACTATAGGATATCACTTAATAACAGCAAAACAAAATAGCCWATCGATTTGATTTAACTTTGATAATGATGCTGTAAACCTTTGCAATTGTGTCGTATAAACCTGAAAGTATATTCTCGAGGCATGATATCAAACAAATTTGTATAAACATACTAATGGTCTATCACTCATACTGCGCTGTGATTGGCTACTCTACTAATGGTCTAATTTGTAATAGACCACTCGCGGGAAAATCAAAATAAATAAATTAGAAAGTATTTTAAGGATATTTCAATTTTTTTCATTATTTGACCGATTAGTATGTTTATACTAAAACAATTAGACCTCTCGGCCTCGTATACTACGAGCTAATAGCCCATTCGGCCTCGCAGACTCGGCCTCATGGGCTATTAGCTCGTAGTCCACTCGAGGTCTAATTGTTAATTACTGGCAGAATCTCAATGAATAGAAAAAGGATACACACAACATCCTTTTCTTGGGGGAGATGACCGAGACTGTTGAACAATTCCACATCGAAATGGYAGGCGACTTGTAGCGTTACTGTAAGAGCGTGATCTGAACCAACAAAAACATAAAATCATCAATGCGTCAAGGCCTTTGAGTCTGGAAATACATTGTAGAGAGCAATAGACTCTTTGTTAAAATAGCCGTGAGTACCACTTACCCGCTTGCTATTGAACCGGCTTTTATRTGAGATACAGTATGGGTACCATCCTTAGGTATATCGAGTGTTACTCCCTTACTAGCMCCTTCAACATCCCCAGASGCTCTCTCCCCGGCAGAGCTGTGTGATCGTGTTGAAGATCGGACGCATTGGACATCAGCTACTGATGACATAGCTTTAGCCCTTGGAATCGGAGGTGCTGATGGAGACCGCCCTGATATTGTTCCACGACGCTGATCCACTGATGACGGCATAGAACCGGGTACAGACTTGGCCGAGTGGGACTTGGAACGACGACGATGTGCTCGTTTTGGTGACACAATTCCCACTGATATACGATAGTAGTCCATCCAATCGTACACAAGGTTCCTAGACGTCAAATGGATCAATTTTATAAAACATAAAAACTAGTTCAAAATATAAACTACACAATGAGGCAGTGATGATATAATACCTGATATAATTACCACATAATAGCCTATAGCAGAGCATGCATTATTACCACATAATAGCCTATAGCAGAGCATGCATTATTACCACATAATAGCCTATAGCAGAGCAAGTGCAATGCAATAATTTTGAATGGCCTTAATTAAGCTTGGAGTTAATTTGATGGGTCTTGACAAGAATTTGATGCAAAATTAAAAACGCTATTTGTAAAAGAAGTAAAGAAACAGCTAACACGATTGTTGAAGGCATTTTTTGCCGGCTTTGTTTTGCAATTCTTTTTGCATGAACTTTTCAACTTTGTCTTTGGTTTCTCAAATCCAGTTTTAATTAATTTGATCGCCCTTTTTAATTGTTTTATCAAGAATTTTTTTGCAAAAATGTAACAAGCCATCTAAAAAAGATTTTGGTTAGTTTAGATGGCATGAGTGAAATCAATGGATATAATATAAAGACATAATTACAGTCAATACTACTAACGTTGTTCACAAAAAGAAAACAACTTAGAACTTAGAAGTTCGCATAAAATGTTCTTTCAATCCCTGCGAAGGAATTGGATTTAAAAAACACCAAAGCATGAAAGTTAACTGTTCAATTTTTGGAACTTGATTGAATCAATCTTGCAAACAAGCTAAAATACGATATATGTTAATGACTTTGCTGTTGACTTAAGGTCTTCGCAAGTGAACAACACAAGTTCGGGGGCCCCACTTCCCCATGCCTCCTACCCACAGTTAAAATGATAAATATGATACATACTTGACTTTGCGCTGCAATTTTAATAGTTCTAATTGCCATGGTGCATCCAACTCAATTTCCTTTCTTTCAGGAAACTTTTCCTCGAGTTCTTTTTGTCTTTCCTCCATGACTTCTTCCGTTATAGCTTCAGTCTTGGGCAGTTTCTGGAAATGAACATTTCATTCCATAACGATTGAACACGCAAATGAGAAGCTCTATACTCTCTAAAGAGCCCTTGTGTGTAGTGTCAATAACAACAACTCTTATAAATAGCTGATGTGCTTACCAAAGTTTTTCTTCTCTTTTCTTTCTTCCTAGGCTTTACTCTGATAGACTGTAAAAAGCATTGATTCTTAAATGGGCTTTTATTTTTGGTAATCGAATAAGTACTYATGCAAGTATATATTAAATATATTGGTTGTGAACAGGGCATAAATAGCCGCTTCTTCCAAGAAAAAAAGGAGACTGATTTTATGACTGGTATTGGATTGTAATTTTTTTGGTAAATAAAGGTAATGAAGTTTATTGAAGACAATTATGAAACTGATAGCAGCTTTAGCAATGGCTATTGTGGCTTTCTGTCGCAGAGTAGTAGTAGTAGTTCATAGTTCTACTTGACTCACATAAACAAGAAGTGAAACAATGAGTTAAAAGTCCATTTTCTAACTTTAAGCCTTACAATAATTTCAGGGTTTTCGGAGYTGAAATACTGTTAGAGATTTCCTTGTTTGCGACATTCATCTGTAAGGCCCGGTTCATACGTTGAGCCTGAGCGTCGCGCCGAACCAAAYAGTTTGAATTTTGCACGAGGAGCCAACGGGGTATGTTCTTCAAAATAACTGTTCTTGTACTAATTTTTTCCGGGAAAGGGATTTTGAACTACATTGTTGACAATATCACCAGCAAATGTGGCGCCCTTCCTAATTTAAAATAATTTTGTTCCTGGCAAACGTTTTTAAGGTCAAAAAAGGCTAACGTTTTAATGGTCAAAAACGGTCTTATATTGTTTTAGTTAGGAAATTTTTATTTTCCTGGCAAAAATTCTTAGAAAGTATTCCTTGCCTGCTGAGTTCTTTTTCCTTGAATTTCACGCTGGGAACCAGTTGTGACTTAMAGCTGGCTGGGAACAGATATATTTCTCCCARGAACCCGTTGGCTCCTCCTACACATGAACAGCTCGACGTATGAATCAATTGAGTTCGGCACGACTGTAGCACGCCAGCGTCAGTCGTGCTGCACAGCAAAAGCTCGACGCTGATTCATAAACGTCGAGGTATCGTYGTGTCGAACTTAWTAACGCACAAAAATATMTTTYGTCSAGAATAATAATGGATGCAAATTGCRTGTTTTCGGACCTTTCCCTATGCTTTTGACTGCATCTGGTTCGACGCATGAATCAACGCCGTACYGAATGTATTTGGATCGTTGGTTTTGGMGACGCTGGCTCGACGTATGAACTACATAAYCAGAGAAGTGTCCATATCTCGATAATAATCCAGTCACCATCAGATGTCCTGATATATTTTTAGACAAAGAATCACAACTTTCGCACAAATAACTTTGCACCTGATTGGTAAAAAATCCTTATTAGTCCTACTTTCAGAGACAAGAAAACAAAATTTAGTCGATGAAGATGAACAAAAGTAAAGTTATCAGTAAACGAATTTTATGCCTTTCGCGGAAATAACCTGGACAATTACTGAGATGGACACTTCCGGCTATGGGCTTCAGTCTGTATAAATAGAAGATAATATAATTTGTACTGGCAACCAATTCAAATACAATCTCTCTCATTGCTAATATTTTTTCACAGAAAAAAAATATTGACCTGATTTTTGAACATAATTACAAGTCATACCTGTTGTGCAGCTTGTGATGTAAACTTGTTATCAGTAAGAAGGTAACCCTACACAAAACAAATAGTCATCTGTTCTTAAATGGTCATGTACTAGATGATCCACAATATTTATTGGTCAGTGGAATGATGCCTAAGTAATAAATATGAAATGCATGTTTCTGCTTCAGCATTAGTACCCTGCGAGCAGAGGATTTCTCCATCTMCTTCTACGWAGAAGGCAATGGCAAAATCCTCTGTTCGCAGGGTACACCATTAGTTGCTTTGCAAGTCAAAAATCTATCCGATTACTCTCGGGAAGCTGCCATACTGGATGTACAAATGTTGGGACTAGAATGTACCGCCACACGTCAGAAAATTCAGTGTTACATAATATGTATAGTGCCGTGTCCACACAATAATCAATAATCCCTGGCATTACGTGTATATCAACTTTATAGAAAATTGTCGCATACAAAATAATTGGTCAATTTTCACAATCTACCTGTGAGTAAATAAGTCTAAACTTATAGTTACAAGAAAACCTTTTATAAGATTGTTTTGTGAAGATTGTTCATAATATTCCATGATTACTGAGTCTTTTCTGTCCTATAACATGGACATTGTTTCAAGTCTTTGCAATTATTTTCAGATCTAAGGTGTGCCTCTCTCTAGAACTCATTGAGGGCTGGAAACCCCACCCAGTCCTTATTGTCTAACCCTTACCAGTTCTTCTATCTTGACAGATTTCACCCCTGGGATCATTCCTACTGGAAACTTTGCCGTTTCATTTTGACAGTTGAAGTACAACATGATACCAGACTGGCTKGTACAACGAAATGTCGTATGTTTGTTGAGCTGCAATGTAATGTTACATGYTGTAAGACACTCCCATAAATAATTGGTTTATCAATCTATTAGCAAATGGAGGATTATAATATTCTATATGTTAGCATGGCCACACTGTATATCCAAGCTGAGTTGCACCAATGTTGTTTAAGAATTTATTTAAGCAATAAACAACGSATTTTCGTGTGTTWCTGRCTGGWGRAATAAACCATGYGGGAYGYTGGGAGAACACGGAAAAGGCGTAAAAAATCTCGAGTCGGAGGTTTAGTTTATTGATYTTATGCTATAGCATTTTCGCGTGAAATAAACAATAACATTTGACCATTCAGAGATCGCGTACTATATGATAGCTATAATATAAACATAAGTTTTCCTTCAAAATGTAAATGTAATAAGTAGTGGGTAAGAAAGTGTGGCCCAMATCTGACTGACTGTGATCGCCCAGTTAGAAAGCTCTTGAAGCATTTTGATGCTGTAAAAGAACTACATGATGATATGAGGGTCGTACAACATTGAATTATTAAAATAACTATAATTATCATATTGTGCTTTTCATAACTTCCTGACTCATTGATCAGTTACAATTAATAATAAATATGTTGCAAATAAACTAGCTCATTGGCTATTATCAATTATGCATTGACCAGTCTGAAAAATATCAATAAACGGTAAAATTAACCTTTGATACAATAGTTACAAGGACCAAATATTTTAACACTCTGAAAAAATCAGTGTCCTGCACATGTATTTCCCTCTCATTTATTACAAAAATGATATTCAATCACACCTGAATTACAACAGGAGTTTGCAATTTGCCCAGAGGCCAACGCCATTTGCTCTCAAGTGTACCATCCTATTAAAAAGACAAACAAAAGCATAAACMAGGGAAAATCTCCAGTATAACATGAACAACAGAAAGGTCAGTGAAAAGAATTTGATAACAAAGGATCTAACCTCTTCAAACAATGCTCCAAATTTGGGTGTGGACACAAACCTGATATTAGCAAATGATACACAATTGAATTAATAGATAAAATTAAAAATTCCATTTAAATTATGTTTTCCCTTGCCCAATAGGACCCAAAATTGCATTACAATTAATACAAGTCGACTTGCAAACTGCCCATACAGCATTCCTTCAGCCCAAGACCATATTTTATTTAACTGCCATTTTTTGGATAGTTTAATACACTCTCTTTAAGATAAAAATAACGTTGTGTCTAAACGTCAGGCAGCCTGAAGTTTAGCCCCAGAACCAAAGGACAGGCAATCAATTTTAATTTTTTTTTTTAATTGTCGGAACAACCATTTTTCTAATAGAACAAGAGAAATGGGTAATAAAGACTGAAATAATACTGTTTGACATGGTTGAATGTATACAAATTAAGTACGATTTTTCGATAGACTAAACGAAACTAAAGAAACTAAACGTCGGGCAATCCATTCATTATGGAACTTTTAGTTTCACGTTGCACTCCGGGCATCCTCGGGAACCCAGGGGTAATCTTCTGTCGTTCGTTCCTCACTCCCAGAAAAAATACCCCGTATTTTTTCTGGGAGTGAGGAACGAACGACAGAAGATAATCCCTGGGTTCCCGAGGATGCACTCCGGGCTGTTTGAGAACATACCAAAGATTCATAATAGCTTTAAGTAGTAATAATTTAACAAATTGCGCACAGTTTTGAGYTGTACAAGTACAAATTTGCTTTTCTGCATCTCTTAGGGTGTCGGAAAAAGAGAGAGTAGAGCGCATCGATATTGGTTTTCCTCTGCGTTTTTATCATTYGAACTGATTTAATTTAACTTCGTTATTTCAGTGACCACGAACAAAGCATTAAACAAAGGTGTCAAAAGGTACACATACACTGAGAATGAAAAAAAAGATCTACAGTGTAAGTTTAAATCTTTTATCATGGTCAATTGAACTTTAGGTATGGACAGTCCTGAATTGTACTAGCAAAAGACCTGATTTGAGATAACCAACCTAATTCCTCCATTAGAATTATAACAACAGCCAACACCAGATGGGGTAAATGTTCCAAGGAATGGCTGTTCGTCAGAGTCACCATAGACAAATGTATATTTACCAGGAAGACCAGATCCAGGTTTTACAGCACATAAAGCCATGCGGCCAGATGGGTAACTAATATGCTGATGTAAGGAATAMTGATTGAGCAAAGACAATGTGTAACAGGAAAGAGATTAGACAACACAACAATCAACTAGGTTATAAAGCTYTAAAATGGATACTAGCAAAACGTYGTCCCATCTGGAACAGCAATAAGAAATTTAGATTTATTGTCGTTTTCTGTCATTTTTTTCCATCTCTTTGCCCATGATACCCCTTTCTTGTACTTCATAGCAGCCTCAAGTTGTGCATCRCCATACCACTTTTGTATCACTGGGCCATCTTCCTTTAGTTCTTTGGCTTTGGCAGCTGCTTCATCTCTGAAATGAAGAGAGTGRAATTAGGAAGACCCTACTGAGCAAGCATYGTTCAACATGATACAATGATGGAGAACACAATGAAAGCACTGAGATGGCTTTCTCATTCACCTCTGTTTCAAAGCATGTGTTCTATTCTAATTATTCCTAGTACTTTTAAGTGCAAATGTTTAAAATTCAGAAATTAAATTAATTACAGTGTCTCCTCTGTTGTGCATTTCAAAATGAAATCATTCCTTAAAAAGGTTTAGAGAAAAAGTGAWTATGATTTTCTAATTTAAAAAGAAATCATATATTATGCACTATAGTCTTTCAAGTTCTTTCTTATCAAAGGCTTCAAAGTTTTCCAAAAATGCCAAGTGTTTCTAGTTTTTGTCTAGTTTTTGTCATGACTTTTATTAGATTGTACCTCTCTTTGATRACTTGCAACAAACGTGCTCTTGCCCATTCAATCATAGTTTGTCTTTCAAGATCATCAGCACCAGACTGGGGCACCACCCAGCCTGAAAACAATGCAGTTACAATTACACCTGTAATTACTAAATAGAGACTGGTCACATGGKACAAATTCTTGCATTATTATAAATGTTTGTCCAAAATGATAGTTCAAAATAACTTTATAATTAATATAATAATAATTGCTTTCCACTGCAATTTGGTATATTGTATAGAATTTAGTGTTATTCTTTAACCACAAAAATATCTTTTGCACAACTGCAATAGCATGACCAACAAAAAAAATGCATCCTTGCTCTTGAAATAAAATCAATATTCTAGTCATCACTTAATTCATTCAGTATTCAACTTTTTCTGAAATAGCTGTGAGTTTTTGGAACATTTCACAATAGTTCTTCACGGTTGCCTGTGTGCCATCTTGAAGTGTAGCAGTGYCTTACATTGAAGAGAGACAACYGTAAAGCGTGCAATGGTAGAAACCTGTGAATAATTGTCTGTARGTGTGAAAGAAGGTTTCYATCATTTGCATGCTCAAYGGTTCTCTCRCTTCAATGGAAAGGCACGGCCACCTCTCAAGATGGTGCAGGGAACCATGAAGAAGTGCTTAAATTTGAAGGAAAATTTAATAATTGTTATTRCTGAAATGTATTTTAAATAGTAAGTATTGAATACTTTAATTTCAATACTTACTAATTAAAAATAGAATCATTAATTTTGCTGTAAAACATTAACTTATAGCTAGTAAAAAAATATGTCTCAAGAACAGCTATACCAAACAGCAAAAAGTAATTTACCTTTATCTACACAGTATCTTGACAATAAAGAAAAGTTTATGACAGAGGGTGTACWGCCAGGAAGTTGCAAAGATGTTGATTGGACTAAAAAATAAAATAAACATGATGAACTTACATTGTGCATCAGCACAACACAAATTATTTGCAATCATATCACATATCACTTAATTAAATGTTGTAGTTCAATACAGAGTATCACCTATGCATGCAGTACATTATCATCCAATGAAAAATATTTTACTGWCAATTGTTGCTGGGTTTGTTTGATAGAACTGTGCAAGAACCTGACTTGTACCTTCAGAAGTGTCCTTTCCCTCATCATCATAAAAGACATGGTCATCAAAATGTGTTTGATCACCAACAATGCTTCCTCTAAAGCCACTATGTCCTGCATGAGTACGCCCTCCTTGTCCTTGCACCTGTACGTGACTTCCAGGTCTGGCTTTAGCAGATGCAGATATGAATGTTTGGCTACCAGGAGGACTTGGATCTACAGTGAAAAAATAAATTCTTACAATTAAATGTTTATAAGAAATCAATATAATCAAGTTAGCAATGGCRACATCATTTTCAGGACACCACAATGTATTTGAGCTGAAACTTGAAAGTTTAACATTTGTGTGCACACTTTATTCTCATACAGCTTTTTCTAACTTGAAGTATGTTGAAGTATCTTCTTTCTATYAGTATTTAACTACTATACCATGCAGTTGATGATGAATAAAATGGRAAAAAAATCAAAAACATAACAAGAGAACAGAAAATTTCTAGAGAGAATGTGTGGCTCCAACCACTTTARTTTGACACACGGCACCATTTACAGTCTGAGGGAGAGAATCGAACCGCTTAAGAACGTCTGCTACGGGGAGKCTACATTTACGGTAAACCTTATGCGAATGGGCAAAGTTTTGTAAACAAAGATCTTCCTATAAAAATGCAGAAAATAATTYCATAATTTAAGCAAGAACGAGATGGGATGACTGTGAATTACATCATATTATCATAATTTTTGTTTAAGCTTTAAGAACAGAAAGAATCTAAATTACGATTATTCTAGAAACTCAAATTAAGCTTAAACTTTAAATGCTTTAGAATAAAAACAGCAAAACAAACAGTGTTATAAAGTACATSTAGAGACTATAAACTTAAAGCTTAGAAATAACACGCAGAATGCAAAAAAGATGGAACGTCATACTGTACCTTCCTTGTCGGCGTAGAATTTGAACTTTTCCAGTCTCGTCTTAGGTTTAAACTTTGTAGGGCTGACATTGGTGATTCTTGAGTCTTTTCGGTGACTTAAAATTGAAGGTACAGATGCTTCATTATTGTCTTGGTCCTTTTGTGACTTTTTATTTGAGTCCTTTGTGTCAGCTATGTTTATTGACACCTTGCATGCGTTTTTGTCAGTTGACATATTTTGGGTTGATTTTAGTTCTGCTTTATTTGAACCGTCTAATACTTGAAACTCGGAAAAAGTTGTCCCTAACCGTTTGTGAAGAATAGCTTGCTCTCTGTAGCTAGCAGTCTGCCACTCTCTTCTCACGTAAACTGCATTTGAACTCAATCCTTCGAAATTATATGATAGTTTTTGATTCAACTCTTCTGGTAAGTGCAAAATCACACCGCCACCACGAAGTAAGTTTATCTCTGTTTCATGAACGCTGTTAACAAATGATGTCGGCGTATCCAACTCACTGTTTGAACTAAAAATATCCTCGAATTCCTCAACTTGTTTTCCGTGAAGGAAATCAAGAAGTTTACCTAACTGTGCAAGCAAATTTGGAGCAGCAAACTTGTTTTCCTCGAATAAAAACCGCTGAGTATCTTCTTCTTCATCATCGCCTTCTAACTGCTCGAAACTTTTAATCGCTGTAGACGAAATTTGTCTTAAATTTAGATTAGGCAGACACAAATTTCTCTTTTCACCAACGTCTTCTGTTTCCTGCTTCAAATCACTTCCAATTTTGTATAAATTACTTAATATAGCTTGATTTTGTTCAGCTCCAGCTTGACCTCCTGGTAAGATACTAGTATCAGCTTCATTCACTTGAGAAACTTCACCTTGTTCTTGATCAGCTCTTGCCGAAGGAATTTCTTTAGTTTTATTTTCTTTCGCTTGCTGTTGCTTAAGATAAGCTTCAACTCTAACCGCTCCACTTAGACCAGTTAACCGAACAGAAAATGGCAATAATTCAGGAGGTTTACGATAACGTTTGTACCTTCGATTGTGTCTCTTTACTTCTTTATCGAAGAARCACAACTGCTCTATTCTTGACATCATAGCGCGAGCAAAATCGTCTGAGTTTGACCGATTGACTGGCAAAGTCACCTTTCCCACCTTTAGTGATATCTATAGCTTCGTTGAAAAACTATTAAGCTTAATATAAAAATTATTGCTTTAATTGGAGCTGTTGTGCCTATGGCGGAATGAACAGAGTATTTTGTACGGTTGCTATAGCAACTTCGAACCGCCCTATCAATGARTATCTGGCATCCACAGGCATCCCCTCGTCCAGGATTAACGCTTAAATCGGGCTTTGAACAACCCGGTCCTCGTCCTGTAGTAATAAGTYGAACCATAACTAAGAGAAAATGGTAAACTGTCGAGTCGGTTTTTCATAAACCAACACAGTGCGCTCCCACTTGTACGCAAAGTCATTGCTTGAGCTCCCGTTGTTTAGGTTAGAGAAGAACAGAACTGGCGCGCACGCTTTTAG